GGTTCATTTTTATGCATTTTATCAAAAGTTATGATCGATAGAATTACATCAATTTGAGTATCGAAAATCACGTGGTCTAATACTTTTGACCAGGGAGTGTACATCTGGTAATGATGTTCTAGAGATTTGCTATCCCAGCTATATGTCCCAACCTGTCCCACACTATGTCCATCTGTCCCATCTATGTTCCATCACAACACTGCGTACATTCTCACAAGATGAAAACACTCATAATCGACAGTACAATGCACAAAATATTAATAATTTAAAGACCTTTTATTTTAAAAATAAATTTCAAAATTTTTTTTTAAAAAAAAAATGATATAGAAAATTTTTTTAAAAAAACAGCTAAAAGAACAAAACATTTTCTGATAACATTAATTATTTTTATTGCCCTCACATACATACGGTAAGATCTACATATCTTGACAATATGTATCACTATTATATTCTGTTATCGTTATACAATATAATTTGGTCGAAATAAATTTTTATTTTTTTTAAAAAAAAACTTAATTTTTTTATTATAAATTATAACAATGTCTAATAGTAATTATATAGGTAAGTGTGTAATAAAAAAATTAAATAATATTTTCACCAAACAAGAAAAAAAAATAAAAATATGAAGCTTCGTATAACTAAAATGAATTAATTTAATGGTTTGATGATATTCTAAAATCTTTATTTTTACATTAGAGCCAGTTTCAGATGCTAAGGGTAATACATGTATTATTAACCACATTCTAATTCGTTAATTATACTTATTTTTGTTTGCTAAAAATTAAATTTTATCAATTTAGAATATGGAATTAGTTTCAGATACTTCTACATTAAAAGACTTAAATAGTAACAAACTTTATTTATCTATTATTTACTTATATAATTATTAATAATTAATATATATTTTTTTTTTTAAAAAAAAAAATTTAATAATTGTAATACTTAAATTGTAAACTATTTAATTTTTATTATATTTTAATTTATATAATTTAAATATAATTAAACTATTATTTAAAAAATATTTAATAATCAATAATATATAGGGAGTAAGTTATTTATTTTTTACATTTTAATTTAAACTTAATTTATTATATAAAATATTTAATAATAATTAATGATATTTTAATTGGTAAATTATTTATATTTATAATTATTATTTAATATTTATTATTATTATTTATAAATAAATTTTTATTAAAAATAAAATGTTAATAATTTAGATGTTAAATTATTTTATTAATTCAATTAATTATATTTATTATAATTTAAATAAAATATTAATATTCTTTATAATATTATAGAAAGTAAAATATTAATTTTTTTTATTATAATTTCAAGTCAACTAAATTTTTTATAATAATTTAGATAGTAAGTTATTTTTATTGATTATTAGTATTTAATTATACTTGATTTGTAATTTAAAATCAACTAAATTTTTTATTTAAAAATTAATTTTATTAGGAAGTAAATTATTTTTATTGATTATCAGTATTTAATTACACTTATTATTATAATTTAAAATCAACTAAATTTTTTATTTAAAAAATCCTAAAGATGGTAAGTTATTTTTATTGATTATCAGTATTTAATTACACTTGTTACTGTAATTTAAAATCAACTAAATTTTTTATTTAAATAAATAAATTTTATTAGGGAGTAAGTTATTTTTATTGATTATCAATATTTAATTATACTTGTTACGGTAATTTAAAATCAACTAAATTTTTATTTAAATAAATAAATTTTATTAGTAGGTAAGTTATTTTTATTGATTATTAATATTTAATTATACTTGTTATTGTAAATTAAAGTTAACTAAATTTTTTATTTTAAAAAATAAAAAAATAAATTTTATTAGCAAGTAAGCTATTTTTTATTAATTATTAGTATTTAATTATACCTGTTACAATAATTTAAAATCAATTAAATTATTTATTTAAATTTTATTAGAATGTAAGTTATTTTTATCGATTATCAATATTTTATTATACTTTATTTAATAAATTAATTTTTTATTATTATTTATTAATAAATAAATATAGATTCTATTCAAAGTAAGTTTTAATTATATTTTATATTTAAATAATGTAAAATAGTATTTATTAATACATATATTTGTTTTTTAATGAATTAAGGTATAAAATCTGATAATGTTTATAAGGATAATGCTAGTATATGGATAGAAAATGCATTAAAAATTGAAAAAGTTAAATTTATACCATTTAATGAATTAATAAATTCTAAACAACTTACTATTGGAGGATTTGGATCTATTATGAAAGCAACTTGGATTAAAACAGGAAATTGTATTATTTATAAAAAGTTAACTAATATACAATCTATTAAAGGTAGTATATTAGATGCCTTTATTCATGAATTACAAATCCATTTACATCTTGATTATAGTGATCGAATTATTCGTTGTTTTGGTATTAGTAAAGGTAAATTATAATTGATCTATTTTTAAATTTATTGTTGTATTTATTATTATAAAAATTCCATTTTTTATATTCTTTATAGATCACGAAAATTATCTTCTTATAATGCAATATGCCAATGATGGTGATCTTCAAAATTATCTTGAAAAGAATTTTAAAAATTTAACTTGGAATGATAAGAAAAAATTAGCATTTCAAATTGCTGAAGGGTTAAATTACTTACATAACGAAAATATTTTGCATAGAGATCTTGTAAGATTAGTTTTTTTACTTATTAAAATTTAAATTTAATCCTTAAATATTTATTTAAATTATGTATCTATTTTAATTTAGCATTCTAAGAATATTGTTATTCATGATGGTAATGCCAAAATTACAGATTTTGGCATTTCAAAAGATATGAATATACAAAATTCTACTGTTTATATTGGAACTTTTGGTAGAATTCCATATGTGGATCCAAAAAAACTTTTGGATTTAAAATTTAAATATGAAAAAGCTTCAGATATTTACAGTTATGGTGTATTGATGTGGGAAATTTCTAGTGGAGTTCCTCCATTTAAGGATTTAATTAGTAGAAGTGATCATGAGTTACTTTGTATTAAAATTCCTAATGGATACCGTGAAACTACTATAGAAGACACACCTGACGATTATAAGGAACTTTATGTAAAATGTTGGAATTCTATACCCGAAAAGAGACCGAGTATTAAAAAAGTATTAGAAGAATTTATAAAAATGGGTTTTGGAATCAATGATGAAGATAATTCAACTTATGAGGATTCAGCTCCTATAGAAACCGAAATAAGTATTAAAAATATTTCGGCTGAAGGTATAGTAGTGACAATTAATTTATTATTGTTTTAAAAATACTAATTGCATCAATCGTTATGGTATTTTAATAGAACAAACTAATGAATTAAATCGACTTTTAAATACGCATGATGATTTAATTAGTAAGTTATTTAAAATACCTTTGGGCATTTTAAAGAAAACAGTATATACTAATATTATTTATATTTAGTTCCATAATATATGGTTTAAGCAGTAATTGGATATTAATTTATATAGATTACATCATTTTGTTTATTTTTATTTTTTATATTTTATAATACTTGGATTTGTTAAAAGATATATGATTCGCTTCATGTAGCGTCATATTCGTTGTTAAATAAATCTCAGTTTAAAACTTATCGTTATTAAATTTATCAGAAAATTTAAAAATTAATTTTTGGGAAATATTGCTTTCATTATTAACGTAATAAAAAAATATATATGAAGATTCACTTCCGCTACATCAATACTAAAAATTAACGAACTAATGATTGTTGGAATATAGTTATCAGGAATGCAACAATGATTTTTATTTCTTAATTTAGCTTTTTTTGCCTTTAAGGTTCTTTTATCAAATTCATAATATTCATAATGAAAGATACTGCAACTTTCATCTTTATTTATCGGTTTGCTAATTACTAAGTCCAATCTGTTAAAATTAAAACTATCGAAATAGATGAAACCCTCGAAACCGTCAAATGGTCAGAGTTTCGACTTCACCAAATTGGATTAGAGTTTTGCCCATTTATTTTTTCTAATTCTCTTTTTTTATGATTAATTAGTTATTTTTTTTTATATTTTTTTTTTGATTATCTTAGTAGGTAGGTAATTACTAATGTTTATTTTCTATTTGTAGATGTTTTGAGCTTTTATACGAGTGGGAAGAACCTATTTCAATAGTATCCTTGTCAAAAGTATGTACGGCTGAATTTATAACTTCAAGGATATCTAATGAACTATTACTTTCAACGGTACATCTTCGTCAGAAACAAAGCATGTCATTTCTGGGATAATTGTAGGAATTATATAGATGAAGTGCTTATTAAATCTGTTGCGCTTCCCTTTTTTTCATTATTGGTCGATGACGATGTTGGTGGCGAAGGACTGGAAATGTTATTATTAGCTTGAAGAATATCGGTCTATATAAAAGAAAATTAATTGAGAAAATAATTCAAAATAATTAGAAAAAAAAATTAAGTTTAAGATGGATGGCTGGATGCTGGAATATAAAGATTTTGTATTAAAAACTTGTAATGGCAATTTAAGATTTATCTCTCCCATTAAAATGAATTTAATAGGTATAAGAAAGAACCTGGCCTCATAATATGCAAATTATACTTACTTTATTGCTTATCAAGAATTGTTGGGCAACATCACGGACTTCTTGAGACATATTATCATCGTCATTAATTGAACTTAACGTTTATAGAATGAAAAATGAGCAGCCAATTTATTAACGTTTTCATAGTTATCAACTAATAAAGTTATAAAACTATAAAGGGACCACTTTTCATAAGGAACAAAATAAAAATATACTTTATATGAGATTATTTCAATTGATGCTTAATGGGAACGAACGATGATAGAAGTAGTATTAGACATGTTTTTAAAAAATTTTTGAAAAAAAAAGTTAAAAAAAATCAAATTAAAAAAATTTGTAAGGATCAAATTTACCTTCGATATTTTAGATATTTATATCAGATGTGTTTTTGATTGTCATGACACAAATAATATGATCCGTAACAAGTGTTTAATAGCAAACTTACAGTAATATACATGATAATATTACTTATTAAATAAAGTCACCCACATATTTTTTATTTGTTATTATAAATAATTATAAAATAAGCAACGACCTGTTTGTTATAAATTTATTAAAGTTATTAATAATTTTGTTTTATTTTTTTTTAAATTAAATATCTTTTAGGTACGAAAAATATCTTGACAAATGTAAGGTTGT